TCGCGTTTAAAAGTTATTTAGAAACGAAAATAGCCACTTTTGCCAGCTCAGAACAACTAACGCTTCCTGAGTGTTTAATTTTGTGCGTGGGTATCCAAACTGTATTTTAGGCTCATAGAATCATTTCAATTGTTTTAAGGAGTTCCAAATGGGAAACTTTTGTTTTACGACTTTTGGAAAAACCCGCTGCTTTAGCGGAAAAAAAAGCTAGAAATAGCTAAATTTCGTTAGTTTGTAAGTTCTACACTACTGAAGCTACAGACATGTGCTATACCTCGTTTAAAAGGTATTTTGAAATACTTAAACGCCTTTTTAACTTAATTTGTTTAAATACGATGGTTTACAAATTATGATTGACCAATTTAAATTTAAATGTATATACTAGCTCCTATGAGAGCAAATATAAACAAACAAAAACTTCTGATATCAAATAAAAACACCTCTTAACGAGGTAAAAAACTACACCCAAAAAAATATGATCATAGAAAGTAAACTATTTCTACATTAAAAGTAAACTATTGAGTGTCAAAAATTTCTCGATACTCTGAGTATTAAGCTAATGGACTTCGAAAGTATAAAAATGAAACTTTCGAAGTTGCCAAGTTTAAACTAACGAGTATACAGTTTATACTCACTCAGTGTACTGAAATTTAGGCTGCTAGTTTATTTTGTATACTATTTAGTATAATGCCAGTATAAATATTATACCACGTATTAAAAAGACAAAATTCAAAAAATATTGTTTTGTACTTTTCATATATTATTAAAAATATTTTTTACATTTTTATAATTTACTGAAGGTAATTTTTAATTTAACAAATAAACATAAATACAATACATGTACAAAATATTTACGTATGTATGCATATTTAGGCAAATGCAGCCGTTTTTCCGCTCATGTCGCTGATCATCTCCAGAATGAACGCCGTCCAGATGAATACCGAAGCTTGGTCGAGGACGCTGATATTAAAGTTAACATTGCGCTGGCCGCGGTCAGAAAAAATGCAAGCCAATTGCAAGATCCTTAGTTTCCCGGCATCTGGAGCGCAATTCAAGGTGGTGTCAGTAAAAAGAAAAGAATTCACTCATTAGTTATGCACTAAGACACAATTTTAATGTACTTACATTTCAAATAAGCCTAAAATAAGCAAATATTAAAATTTTCACAAGTAATTTTCACAAACAAACCTTAAACAGACCGCAGCGTCGTTTACAAAATACACTAATGCCAAACCATTAAAATACTAACGCGTCGAAAAAAATTAAAAAGCGGTAACACTTTTTCTGTTCGAAATTTCCAGGTTCCAAACCAGAGCATCCTGGCCTCACACCAGGAACGAAAATAGAAACTTCGGTATAGAAATTAAACTCAGGGCATAAACTTAACACTATTTAGTCTTAACTTAACACTATTGACTCTGCTCCCTACATTATTTAGTTTTAAATTAATACTGACTAGCTGTAGTATACTTTTAATACAACGCTCATTAACTGTAAACTTTCGTATTTTTTTTTGGGTGTAGTGACGATCGCACCTTCAACATACAAAAGTTCTGATATCAACATTTGTGACGAAAAATTATTACACTCGTCATTAAATACACTTTCTAAGATTTTCTCATTCGGCACGCTGCAATAGAAAATGCCTATGAAGGTAAAAAGGCTAAAATAGTATGCTAGGGCGGGCCGAATGAGAAAATATTAGAAAGTGTATTTAATGACGAGTGTAATAATTTTTCGTCACAAATGTTGATATCAGAACTTTTGTATGTTGAAGGTGCGATCGTGACTAGTTTTTTACCTCGTTAAGAGGTGTTTTTATTTGATATAGACAACAAAAAAAATTCAATTTTTTTATTAATATTTAAATTGGTAATATAACTCTTTAAGAATGTGTCATAAAAGTTTCACGAAGAAATTCGAACTATTTTGGAACTTATTCCATTATGACGGCACCCATATTCCTTGTTCAGTAGATATGTTTCATTACTTTTAATGCGTTTTTCTCGAAAGCATGTTTTTCTCAGCTGCGGATCGTGTATCTCAAAAAGTAATGCTTTGATCATCATGGTGCTTTTGCGGAAATGTTTGCAATGAAATTGCCCACTATCTGAACCTACTTTATGTAGAAATTTGTACGTTAAAGTATTTTTTCTAAAGCAAAAACAACAAGAAAAATAAGAAAAAAATTTATTTTTGACTTTAAAAGAGTGCCCCAACCAGAGTTTTTGAGATATTCTATGTAAGTTAGGTTCAGACAGTTTCTACATTATTTCTCAACAAAATTAATTTCGTTTCACAAAAATCGGATCTACACAGCGAACTGTAGACGATCCGCAGCTGGCCTACTTTTTTTAAAAAGGCCTGACAAAAAAATTCCCACGGCCGCCATTTTAAAAGATACAAGAAAAAATAAAATTGGTTTAAATTATATAAGAACTATGTAATCAACATGCCAAGTTGCAAACTTCCAGCACAAAACCTTATTGTTTAAAAAAAATCATGAAAAACTTGACAAATTTGCAGTTCTATATGTATCTCCCCCCTTAAGTACGAACACATACGCACTTGCTTACGAGTTGTGTTTACTCACACAAGCATGTGCACTTGGGTGGGTCGATTTGGGACCCCAAAAATCGTATAGGGGGAACGTAATCTTTAAAGTGTATTCTAAGCCATATCGGCGAACATACTTATGGTCTAAAATGACGTTTGACCGCCCCCAAACGCGAATGAAAAATACTGCTATTTCTACATTTCTAAAGGTATTGATAAACACAATAAAACTGCATTTTTACTTTTCCGAAATATTGAAATTTTTGAAATCGTTTATAAGCGATTGTGGGCGTTAAAGGGGGCGTGGCACCCTTTTGAAACAAACTTGCGCTGCGTAGGAACTCCTAGAATCTGCATGCAAAACGTCAATCTTCTAGCTTTTATAGTTTCCGAGATCTCAGCGTTCATACGGACGGACAGACAGACAGACGGACAGACGGACATGGCTATATCGACTTGGCTAGTGACCCTGATCAAGATTATAAATACTTCGGAAATGCTTCCTTCTAGCTGTTACATACTTTTGCACGAATACAGTATACCCTTTTACTCTACGAGTAACGGGTATAAAAATGTTAAAACAAGAGCAACTAAATATTTTCTTTCACGAATAATTTACGGCAAAATAACGGCAGAACAATTAGGTTTTTTTTTTAATGTTAAAACAAGAGCAACTAAATTTTTTCTTTCACGAATAATTTACGGCAAAATAACGGCAAATTCCCATTAAAAAAGATTTTTAAAATTTTGAACTTCAGTGTGGGTGTTTTGCTAAGTTGATATCAACTTAGCAGAACATCTCATAATTTTAAAAATAATTGAGCGGCAAGTTTTTTTCTTTCACGAATAATTTACGGATAAATAACGGCAAATTGTCGATAGAAAAAAATTTGCATTTTCAAAAGTTGCATTGCTAACTTTATGCACATCTGCATATTGCAAAACGAATGTATGGCCGGTACTCATCTTAGAGATTATATTGGTCTTTGGCTAGACCCAGTTCGGAATTATAAATTAGGCATCGCAGAAGATTTGTATGTGCATACTTTAATACTAAAAAAGTTACGTTGAGTAACTATTGTTCTTAGTTAGACAACTATTTAAAATAGTTTCAAGGTACAAAAATAAAATACACACACCATTAAGCGTAACTATTTTAATAGTAGTTTAACTATTTAATAGTACGCAAAGCAAAAACAAATACACGGACGACTATTTTTATTGTTAAAGTAATATTTTGTATAGTTATTGAACTTCATTGGTCAATTTTACCAACAACCAAAAAAAAAACCGAAAGTTTACAGTTAATACGCGTTGTATTAAAAGTATACTACAGCTAGTATCAAACTGTCAGTATTAATTTAAAACTAAATAATGTAAGGAGCAGTCTCAATAGTGTTAAGTTAAGACTAAATAGTTTTAAGTTTATGTCCTGAGTTTAATTTCTATACCGAAGTTTTCGGTTTTCGTTCCTGGTGTGAAGCCAGGATGCTCTGGTTTGGAACCTGGACATTTCGAACAGAAAAAGTGTTACCGCTTTTTAATGCTATTCGGACGCGTTAGTATTTTAAGGGTTTTACATTAGTGTATTTTGTAAACAACGCTGCGGTCTGTTTAAGGTTTGTTTGTGAAAATTACTTGTGAAAATTTTAATATTTGCTTATTTGAAATGTAAGTACATTTAAATTGTGTCTTAGTCCATAACTAATGAGTAAATTCTTTTCTTTTTACTGACACCACCTTGAATTGCGCTCCAGATGCCGGGAAACTAAGGATCTTGCTATTGGCTTGCATTTTTTCTGACCGCGGCCAGCGCAATGTTTACTTCAATATCAGCGTCCCCGACCAAACTCCGGTGTTCATCTGGACGGCGACCACTCTGGAGATGATCAGCGACATAAGCGGTAAAACTGCATTTGCCCAAATATGCATACACACGTACATATTTTGTACATGTATTGTATTTATGTTTATTTGTTAAATTAAAAATTACCTTCAGTAATTTATAAAAATGTAAAAAATATTTTTAATAATATATGAAAAGTACAGAACAACATTTTTTGAATTTTGTCTCTTTTATACGGGGTATAATATTTATACTGGCATTATACTAAATAGTATACAAAATAAACTAGCACCCTAAATTTCAGTACACTGAGTGAGTATAAACTGTACACTCGTTAGTTTAAACTTGACAACTTCGAAAGTTTCATTTTTATACTTTCGAAGTCCATTAGTTTAATACTCAGAGTATCGAGAAATTTTTGACACTCAATAGTTTACTTTTAATGTAGAATTAGTTTAGTTTCTATGATCATTTTTTTTTTGGGTGAAGCAAATTTTTTTGTGTGTGGGGTTTCTTTTCCGCAATAGTCCACTAGCTATACACTGCTATAGTCAAAAATTCGGGACTTCGGTTTTTGGATAGAGTAGGCAAATCTTACCCTTTCTGCACAAAATTAGCGATTCCAGGAAATTTAGTTCCAGCACGTCGGCCTTCAGCTGATGGGCCTCGAAGATGAGCAGCTTTAGCTGGTCATCGCCGCATCCCTCGATCATGGCGCTGATGTCCAGGGACCAATGAGAGGCTCGCAGGACGAAGATCTCGCTCCACACCACCTGCAGGATGGCGTCCTGCTGGCAGCGATCCAGAAGAGCGAACTGTTCATTGGCCTTCGCCTGTCGCAAGCATGTTACGAGGATCTGGGCGAGGATCTGGAAGTGCAGCGCCTGGGAACGGGCCGTTGGACATGGCGCTGGCACAGATTGCCCAGGATGTCTTGGGGCGTTCCGGTAGGGGGTCACCTGCTGGTTGCGCGGACCTCGCTCCTCCTGAACGGCGGCGGCGTTCATTCCCACAGCCAGACATCGCTGAAAGCGGCAGGAGGGGCACCAGTTCCTTCGCGCCTTGTCCACTACACAGTTTCCGGCGAGGGCGATGCAGGCGTAGCTACTTCCACGCCTTACGCTCCGCTTGAAAAAGCACGAGCACCCATCGCAGCAGGCCACGCCGTAGTGCTTCCCGGAACTCTGATCGCCACACACTGCGCAGGCACTTAGGTTCGACATGGTCACCGCTGCCAGAGAGAGTTGCGACTGACTGAATCAGGTCCTTCTGGACATTGGCGGTTTTATATGCTACCTGGACGTACGATACCCACAAATGATATGCAAACCTGATACACAAAAACAAAAAGTTTCCTAGTTTGTGAAATAAATTCGTCAGGACTTAAATAACAAGCATTTGTACTTTGCATATAACACGTTTTATTTTAACATTCTTGGGTGCAATTAGCTTCGGAATTGATGCTATGGCAATATCAAAGTAAAGGAAATGTTTTATCAAACTTTTAATCATTTATAAATACTAATTACTAATAGTAATCTTCGTACGAATTTGCTTCTAGTTATCAGAAGATTACTATTACCAGTGTATGAGTGCTTTGTGCCAAAGCGTGATTCGAGGATTTTTGTTTGCCCGAGACGTTCTAGCAGGGGGCGTGGCGCGTCAAAAGTGACAATCATCTACTATTCCGGAACGTGTTAACAATTTGTAAACAATTATTGTTTTGCTCTGTGATTGGACGTGCGCTCGCCACTTGAAATGTCAGCGGTGAGGTCCTTTTATACTGACATTTCGGGTAAACACCGAAGAGAATAGAATAGGGCTGGGCTTAGATGTCTACCTAGTTCGTATTCTTGCAATTCTTGGTCGAATCTGGCAAGCTATTTACTTGTAAGTTAAGAGTAAGTCACAGCTTTTATTTAATTCTCAGTAGACCCCTGCATGCAATTTTTCAATAAATTACACAGGCCGACAAAATGTGACATGGGTCGGTGTCCAGGCCTGCCATCATTTTATTTCGATAAATGAGGCTTTTCTAAGCATAAGTTGCCACTACACCTATAGTCCATCAGCTCTGGTACTTGCGGTATCTTTAATTTAAGAAAATCACAAATTTTCTTCGTCTTTTGGGATATATCTTCAAGAGTGGTCAACCAATTTTGGTAATCTTTTCGGAATTAAATAGTTACATGTCTCTTTTATACGGTCGTTTTGGAAAATTCAATCTAACTCAACCACACGAGGAGGTGGGCGCATTCAAAATTTTAAAGTCACAGCAAAGTTTAAAAATCTTCATTTGCGAAAAGCGTTTTAAAATTAAATAAAACAAGAGAGAACGCTATAGTCGGGTGCCCCGACTATCAGATACCCGTTACTCAGCTAATGGGAGTGCGAGGGATATTCATAAACACAAAAAAACTGAATTTTTACTTTTCCGAAATATTGAAATTTTTAAAATATAAGCGTATTACATAACTCATAACTATTTTTGAGCACAAGAGACCCTTGCTTTTAAAATATTTATACAAGGGCGTAAGTTAAATGCTGTAGGGCTACGCATGCTAGTAGGCTACGCTCATGTGCTTATACTCAAAGCAAAACTACTTAGATCGTTTAGAATTATGATATTTAAAATTGTGACAGGTTTGGGCACTGTTTGTGAATCGTCACTTTGAAGAAAGTAAGAAAAACAATTTTAAAAATTCCAAAACAATTCACAAAAGCCTGATGAGTGTCCTAAAAATTAAGGACATAAGGTATCTTTGGATCAAAAATGCATTGCAGAAGAAAATATGGTAATAGTCTAGAAGAGCGGCCTGAGCACCAAAAACCGCGAAAAAATTACCCTCGATGGACCGCGATTTCTTAGGAATTTACGTGCAGAAGATTATTTGCGGAAATGCATTGTTCTCTTGTAATTGCATTTCAAAGTTGCGTGTTTTGCTATAAAAACAAAGTAGGATTTTCTAGGATTTTGAGGTGTTTTGTGTCATTTTGCTATAAAAAACATATGAGCTTTCCGTTTGTTGTCAAAATAATAAGCGTTCGAAAAAATTCGACAAAAATGTGAAATTGTTTTTATAGCAGGCCAGACCCCACAACCGCGAATTAATATCCTCGATGGACCGTGATTCCTAAGAGCTTGTGCGACCAAGGATGACCAACATATACATTTTTAAGATGAATCTTAAGAAATCGCAATCCGAGGAGGATCAACCGTAGTCTTTATCAAAGCCAATTACGAGAGTTTTTAGTTCAGTACCTCCTTATACTTGTAACTCATTTGTAATAGTAAATAAAATGCTATATTAAACTATGGTTAATGATTGGACAGTAAATATTTATTTATAAAAAATGCTGGTTAGTGGTACAGATTAAGCCTATTCCTTTTCATTGTCCGTATCGGTGGTTTCCTGAAATTTAAGATAGTTAATTGTTAGTATTTAAAAAGAGATGGGAAATGCTAAAAAAGCGCCGAAGGCAAAAAAATTAAAAACAAAAAATCGCGCGATTTTTTTTTTTAATTTTTGCCTCCGGCGCTTTTTTTAGCATTTCCCATCTCTTTTTAAAGGTTGATCCTCCTCGGATTGCGATTTCTTAAGATTCATCTTAAAAATGTATATGTTATCAAAGCCAATTACGAGAGTTTTTAGTTCAGTACCTCCTTATACTTGTAACTCATTTGTAATAGTAAATAAAATGCTATATTAAACTATGGTTAATGATTGGACAGTAAATATTTATTTATAAAAAATGCTGGTTAGTGGTACAGATTAAGCCTATTCCTTTTCATTGTCCGTATCGGTGGTTTCCTGAAATTTAAGATAGTTAATTGTTAGTATTTAAAAAGAGATGGGAAATGCTAAAAAAGCGCCGGAGGCAAAAAAATTAAAAACAAAAAATCGCGCGATTTTTTTTTTTAATTTTTTTGCCTCCGGCGCTTTTTTAGCATTTCCCATCTCTTTTTAAAGGTTGATCCTCCTCGGATTGCGATTTCTTAAGATTCATCTTAAAAATGTATATGTTATCAAAGCCAATTACGAGAGTTTTTAGTTCAGTACCTCCTTATACTTGTAACTCATTTGTAATAGTAAATAAAATGCTATATTAAACTATGGTTAATGATTGGACAGTAAATATTTATTTATAAAAAATGCTGGTTAGTGGTACAGATTAAGCCTATTCCTTTTCATTGTCCGTATCGGTGGTTTCCTGAAATTTAAGATAGTTAATTGTTAGTATTTAAAAGGTTGATCCTCCTCGGATTGCGATTTCTTAAGATTCATCTTAAAAATGTATATGTTGGTCATCCATGGTCGCACAAGCTCTTAGGAATCACGGTCCATCGAGGATATTAATTCGCGGTTGTGGGGTCTGGCCTGCTATAAAAACAATTTCACATTTTTGTCGAATTTTTTCGAACGCTTATTATTTTGACAACAAACGGAAAGCCCATATGTTTTTTATAGCAAAATGACACAAAACACCTCAAAATCCTAGAAAATCCTACTTTGTTTTTATAGCAAAACACGCAACTTTGAAATGCAATTACAAGAGAACAATGCATTTCCGCAAATAATCTTCTGCACGTAAATTCCTAAGAAATCGCGGTCCATCGAGGGCAATTTTTTCGCGGTTTTTGGTGCTCAGGCCGCTCTTCTAGACTATTACCGAAAATATTTTTATTTAATTTTTAAACGCTGTTCACAAATGAAGATTTTTAAACTTTGCTGTGACTTTAAAATTTTGAATCCACCCACCTCCTCGTGTGGTTGAGTTAGATTGAATTTTCCAAAACGACTGTATAAAAGAGACATGACCCAAATTGGTTGACCACTCTTGAAGATATATCCCAAAAGACGAAGAAAATTTGTGATTTTGATACCGCAAATACCAGAGCTGATGGCCTATAGGTGTAGTGGCAACTTATGCTTAGAAAAGCCTCGTTTATCGAAATAAAATGGTGGCATGCCTGGACACCGACCCATGTCACATTTTGACGGCCTGTGTTATCATGTTTATTGTGAACTAGCAGGGTCTGTAGCCCGCAGCTTCGCCTGCGGAAATTAAAATGGAAAATTAAGCATTGCTTTATCTTTGGTACTTATTTTAAATTTAAAAATTCCTAATTTTTATTCTATAAACCGAGAAAAGATTTTATCAGAACTTTTTCCCTTGATATCCGTAAAATCAAAAATATTTTGTCCTTTGAAAACTACTTAAAAAAACATGTGTCTTTTTTAAATCTTTTTTTGAAATAATTATGGATTGTTTGCATAAGTTAACAGATGGACATAACAGAAACAAACAGATTCCTTTTTCGACACAAATCCTTACACTAATTTCATTCAAAACATTAGTATTTTGTACAAAGCATATTATTTAAATATAGAATGTCATACTGCGTTGAGCATGTAATTAAATTCCCAATCCATTGCCATTAAAGCCTAGAAACATTATTTGAAAAAAAATTTCTTTAAGAAAAAAATAGATAGGATACGAATTTGATTAAATTTACATGTTAAAAATATTAAACTCTTTTTCAATTTCGGAGAGTTTTGACTATTGCTGTCCCGCTCTTACCCAGCTAAATTTATGCATTTTTTTGTATGAATTAAGAGTGCAAAAATATGAATTTCAAAGCAGTACTTTATCGAAAACAAAGCAAAAAACTGCAAAAATATGAATTATCACGCCGCGTTAAGTATGTAATTCAATTCCAAATCGATTAGCGTTTAACTCTGGAAAAAAAACTTGCTCGCTGGCTGGATAGTGTGAAAACCCTAGTTTGAATTACTTGAATTTCTCGAAATCTGTGGGTTTGATTTCGCTGAAATTAAGAAAGAAATTACTTATAATGATGCCCCTTCTACTGATATACCGTGCAAGTTGGCACAACCTCTGTGAGAGCTGTATTAATTATTTAAAGTTTGCATAGATTTATGGTTTATGTCATGGCTCCGCACGCTGTCTCAGTGTGACCGCGTGGAAAAAAACTATAATTGAAATGACTTGAATTTCTCGAAATCTGTGGGTTTGATTTCGCTGAAATTAAGAAAGAAATTACTTATAATGATGCCCCTTCTATTGATATACCGTGCAAGTTGGCACAACCTCTGTGAGAGCTGTATTAATTATTTAAAGTTTGCATAGATTGATGGTTTATGTCATGGCTCCGCACGCTGTCTCAGTGTGACCGCGTGGAAAAAAACCATAATTGAAA